AGACGCTTTTACACTTACAAAGCGTTGTATAGGCGTATATGACCTATTGACCAACAAACCATGCAAAACAATTTCCAATAAACAACTTGGCCTCCAGACAGTAGAGGTGCAGTGACGCATTATAATGCACTTTCAGACGCTGAATTTAAAATTTGTTTATTTCACACTATCCCACATAATAATGTCGACACGCTTATCGTTCATAATCTTAACTTTAACTAGAATCTGGAAGAAACAATTTTAAACGGAAAGCGAAAGTTAGAATTAGTTGATAATTCAATTTAATACAAAACAGATTTTATAATAATACACAATATGTTCTATCATCGGGTAACACTTATATAATCAAACAATCTACAAGCTATATAACTCCCTTATTGATAAAATCAAAGTCAGTATGTACAATACAAATTGTACTTACGATGCGTTGAAAAAAATCATTCATTCAAAAACGTTTTTTTATTTATTTCGTAACATAATAAAAACATAAAAATATACTTAATGACGTAGCCAAAGATGCAATACATAATATTTACAATAGGATAAATAAAAAATATTCAATACATTTAACTTAATTCTTATATAACTAATTTTATTATATAACATATGGAAGCACTTGATACGTTATGTAGATAATAAATCTCTTAAAGGAGTTGTATATATGCAATACACTATTTTTTATAACATAGTAGTTTGACCGGTTTAGTTTTTATGATCTAGATTCTCTCATATATGTCAAAGACTAATATTTTTGTCGAAGTCCAATTTCTGAGCTACCATTAGTATCTATATAGCACGCAAGAATACCACAAATTTATGAATGTCAAATTACAAATATTCGACTAATTTAAAGCGTTTTAATTCGCTATTTAACTACTCTTAGATATTATCAATGTGGTTTACACAACAATAAAACATGAAACGTAATATAAAAACTGCTAGAGCAGGTTTCTGTTGAAGGTCTACATAAAAATGTAGATTATAAACTTCTACCACTATTATGTCATCTGTTTTTTCATCTAATCCATAGATTAAAAATGATTTACTATCTTTGATTGTTGTAGTGTAGGTACACTGAACAAGTAGGTCTTTCTACATTCCCCTTATAGCTAAGGGAATTAGTTGTAATACTGTAGTTATGCGGTAAGCGAACGTTCAAGTGGTTAAATCAACTATGGTTGTGTTTGTAATTAAAGCATTAAAGTGTAACAGTGCCTTTTTTTAGCGATTCGTTAATATTACGAGAGGTAGTTTTAGTATACTTATATACTACTTAGTGGTTTTGATGCGGTGAAGTGTGCGGGTTATTTATAATTTAATTTTAATATTGGATATAATCTACTAATATAATATTTAGGACAAAATTTTAACTAACACAATATTTATCATATGGACTGGATTGTCTCACTCACTCCGCTAGCGACCCAAAAATTGTCTTGGCTGAAATGAAAATCTTCCCCCGAATTGCTGGCTATCAGCTGCAGCAAGTCCTCTTCCACTCTGGCGAACCAGCGGTACCTAGGCCGACCTACTGGTCTACTATAATTGTCTGCTTAAAGACCGATCGCAAAACTCCAAAAAAGTACATTGTTTCTTTCCATTTTTCGTCATCGTTTCTTGAATAGGGCGAATGGAAAAAATTATGGTGGAGTTGAGTAGTTTATGTATCCATTTTGAAAGATCGATACAAGATTTAAATAACTTTGCTTGATAGAAAAGAAATTTAAACATACCTACACAATTTTTGACACTTTGAATTCATCATAGAACATGATTTTGAAATTTACACGATATATTTTATTGCAAGCCTAGTAATCCATTTCAGAATTAAAAATTACATTAATTGATGTTTTACATAACTAATTGTTATTACGGGACGGCGCGCCTCAGTGCTCCAGCGCCCCGCAGTCCACCCCAAGACACTGACACAGCAATTCGTGCAATTATTATCTATAGACGGGTTATAGACACCGCAAATCGCGACTATGACGTATGGTGAACCATATTTCATAGGTTTTGCTTCTGAAAAATAGGAAAAAGCGGACACATGTAACAGTACATTTTAACTTTTTAAGATAACTTATCTATTTCGTGGTTCTATAGATAATAGACTAACACTCTCTGTAAAAATATCTACCATTGGTAATTACGGCTGGTATTTTAAATATGGAAGCTTTAAAAACAAGAATAAATACGCCTTAACGAATGTACTATGTTGATTTCGTAAACGACCCTGACCCATTTCACAATGAAAGGATAATATAATTCAAATTTGCTTAACAATTACATGAAAGCATAATCGTTATATATTTTCATAGAAAAGTCCTGCCGTCATACATTATTATTCATCAAAGAAAAGGAAACTTAAATCTACAAAAGATACTTCGTATATTCTGCATACACTTAATACTTTGTTAAACCTTTAAGCCTTGATTGTAAAACTGTCGTGGAATATGCTTAAAAGGAGTATTAAGAATAACCATAGCGCTAACATCATGAGCACACCCCGCATTTCTCTTTTCTTTTGTTATACATATATAGTTTATGTTAGCTGTAGGAGTTCGAATTAAATTTTAATAAAACCTTATTTATCAGCCCCAGATTAAGTTAATATAAATCCCTTTTCTGGTAGGATTTATATTCAATAAACATTACGTCCTTCTTAATATATATTTTTTTTAAATTCGTGAAATTTTATTACATTTGAGAGCATTGACATCGGACATGGTCACTTGTATTTTCGCGCGTTCAGTACAATTTAATTTATGATATAGGATTTGAAATTGGAATTATCCAGTTTGTTTGACATAACTGAGAGGTTCGCTTTAGTACATAGACTATAGACACCGGGCGTTAATCAGACATTCAAATCCAAACACAGGAGCTATTATTATTTATTTTTAGTACAGTATTAATGTGTTAATAACTTTATAAATATATGACGTTCCTTATTATTTGTGAACGTCGATTGATACATTACTAAGACAAATATTGCTACTGTATTTGCTCTTCCTGGTGCATTTATATTTCAAACGTAATTGCAAAATTGTTGAGCCCGTGTTATCCGAAATTTATATGAAATAGATAAAATAACATGTGTAAAATAAAATTCCTTTAAATGATATATTTCACAAAAACTAATATACAATATTTTGAGAGACGGAAATTTATATTTACAGCAATCAAATGATTTTGTCAGTTTGAATTGAACTTTTACAAAAAAGTCCCGTTTTATATGAAATTTCGATTTCCGAAATTACGGTCGCAAAAACACCTCTCCTTCGTCGCTCCTAGTCTGTCTCGATCCTTCAGTTCAACGGCGAGATTTCTTTTATTTAAAAAAAACACAATTGCACCGGCGGAGTACGGCTTTTATTGCTTGAACAGCAATACTATTTGTTTATTAGAAAAATTGGCGTTTTCGTAAATTTAAACCCTATTGTGCAGTAGAAACGTCACTAGTCAAAGGAGATGCCGTTTTATTAGGTCGCGTAAGGCGAGGTAAATGTAATTAAATTAATAATTTATCCCTTATGAGAATTTTGATAATCGCATAGGTATTTATCCTTCACGATGATGCCAGGTGGTTTAGTTTCCTTTAGTTTTTGACCGACTAAAAAAACCCGTTTAAATTAAACGTGTATATAAAAAAATAATTATAAAATAAGTTTAAAATATTTAAAAAATTATTAAATCTTACCTTTTGATATATTAAAAAAATCCATAAAAGGTAAATTTAGCAAAATTTGTGTTTGTGTGCTATGTGGGCAAAAAAAATTAATTGGTTGTGGTTCAGTTATTCTGAGGTAAATAAAAATTTTACGTTTTATAATTAATTAGTGCTTTCATGTACGCAGATGTCGATAAAAAAATTACAGGTTATTTCGTAAAGCCATAAACTTTGACGGTGTAAATGGATTATTATTATAACAAATCCAATTGCTTTTAGTTTTATAATTAATTGAACTTAAAAATAATCGGTTTTAACATACTCAATTTTCATCGTTAGGTTATCAAAACATATTACGACATTAGAAATTATTTAATTATATTTTGACATTTGTATGTCGATTTGACATAGCTGATAGCTGATGGTGCATTTCTTTGTAATTCGTCTTTAGTATTTATTACTTTCATGGCAAATAAATAATCTATAAACAAACGTGTAATTATGCCATTAAAGTAAGTGTATTACAATTAATATTACATAATCTTTAAAACAAACATGGCTTTCATTTGACGCTTTCCTGGTCAATTAGAATACTAGGTATAAGCGATGAACTTTTCATTTTTACCCAAATTTTTTCACCAAATTCAGTAAATATAAATTATTATTGTTTTATTAACAATCCTATTTTTGCGATACTTAAAAGATATACATAAAATACTGGCTGAATTGGCATTTATGTTTACCGCGAATTGTCAGGAGTACTTTAGGATGCGGAACGCGTCTTCCCCTCACGTCACGGCTTTTGTCCCAAGAACAAAACATTTGCGTCATCGGATCACTTTATACCCCAGTTACGTTTAATTACCTTGCCATGGCAACTACTATGCAAATTTAAAGATAAACTTCATTGTTACATTCTTATCCAAAAGCAAAAAGCAAACCACTGTAAAAAAACTGAATTCACACACATAATGTGTATAAATAAAAGTAATTTAAATTATATATAATACACACGTTTATTACCCTCTGAAATTATACAACACTTTCCTCAAGTTCTGTATTTAAAAATTTGTTAATATGAGTAATACAACGCGCTCTTGCTAAGTGCAAGTCGTGAATAGCCTAATGCTAAACAAAATAACGCTGGGAAAACAAACCAGCGACGTGCGTGCGGCGCGGGCGCGGAGTAGTGCGGTCGCACACGTCACGCGAAATCCGAGGTCTCTATAAAAGCATCGTCACCCTCCCACTGGCATCACTCGCAAGTTAGCACTAGACGCTTAGTCACAAACGTTGATCGCTTCTCGCGTGTACATTCATTGTGTTCGCCATGACTGTAACTAGTAAAATGAATAGTGTTTCCCGCCAATCTCTGCTCAGCCGTCTTGGACCTGGCGGGCTCCTTTACACCGCTAACAAAATACTAGCGGTACGTTTCTTTGTGCAATCAAAGCTGCAAACGAAAGTGAATCGATATTCTTGACGTAATCTGTGTGTTGCACGGTGTTTTAATGTGTCGTTTCTATTGTCCTCAGGTTGCATCTGGTAAAGATGAAGAACGCTGGCGTGGGAAAGAGGAAGGCGCTCTGTTCAAGCGATGGAGACGCCACGCCTCCTCGGAAACTTCTCCTATAGTGTCTGCCCCTACATCACCATCCCAACCTTCGGATTTGCTGAAATTTTTGGCTATTGTAAGTTTCATTTAATTCAATAGTTTAAAAAGTTCTTAATACTTCAGTTCTTTTTTTAAGATCAGTAATAATTTATAGACAAATTATTTGTATTTGATTTTAGTTTTGAAGTAGAGTTTTTTTTTCATATTTAAAAGTTTTGTCAGTTACAATAAAGTTCTTTCCTTTTATTTTCAGAATGCACTAGAGTTGTCCGCACCGGCCTCGGATGCGCTACTCAAGACTCGTTCTTCGGAATGGTTCCAACTTTCCGGTCACCCGGGATCTTTAGCACCCGCAGGACCTGGCACCGTTTGGAAACGCCGTTCTCCCGGCGACCACCCTTCACATAACCCTGAACGTGACGCTTACGTTGCCCTCGCATCCTGTCCCCACATGCGGTCTGCCATCCCACGTTACTACAGAGAACTGGAATACGGTGGTGAACATTTCATTGAGCTTCAAGACTTATTACACGGCTTCCGCGACCCTCACGTTATGGACATCAAAATGGGAACCCGGACTTTCCTTGAAGAAGAAGTCAGCAACGCTAGGGCTAGAACCGACCTGTATGAGAAGATGGTCCGCCTCGATCCCAATGCTCCGACTGAAGCAGAGCATACTGTGCGTGCCGTCACCAAACTAAGATACATGCAGTTCAGGGAACAATGCTCCTCTTCAGCCGAGCAGGGATTTAGAATTGAAGCTGTAAAACTACCAGGACAGCCTCCATTAACTGATTTGCAGAAAGTAAAAGAGCCAGAACATCTGACCGCTACAGTGGCCAAGTTCTTCGCTCGCAATGAGCGCGCGCGCCGCTCAATTGCTGCCCGTCTCCGCGAAATAAGGGAACTTTTCGAAAACTCAGAGTTCTTCCGGACGCACGAGATCGTCGGTAGTAGTATATTTATAATCTACGATGATGAGCGCGTCGGGGCGTGGCTAATCGACTTCGCTAAGACCCGACGTCTTCCTGAGGGTTTGAGTGTAACGCATCGCGAACCCTGGGAACAAGGAAGCCACGAGGAGGGCTTTCTGTACGGACTGGATAGACTGATAGAGACTATAGAAACGGCTAAATTACCTGAAGTGTCTCGTTGAGCGACTGATGAGTGGACCTGGAAGGAAAAGGTCTGAAGGTCTCGTCTGCGGTCAAATCGAAGCCTGAGCCGCGCTCGCCCAGTGCTAGTTCCTGCGCCCACCGAGGGTGTACGCACGGGGATGTACAGAATTATTGTTTTCAATGCGAAACCAGTTTCGCTTAATGATCTAGTCCTAATGATTAATTGATAATTATAATTTAATGATTTTCGTGTGTGTTTCTCTTTAAATTCCTTAAATACCCTACATACCTACCCTAATACAATAATATATCTATAATTAAAACTTAGAAGTTGATGACATGTTTACCTATTAATATAAATTTGAATCTACTTAACCAATTTAAATCAATTTTAATACAGATATTAAAATGTAAATATTATTTTAATTAGTACTCAATTATTGTACCAGCTAGCTAAGTATAATTTATATACTGGTACTTATAATGAGCAAGAAAGTAATTTCTCAATATAAAATCTCTCTAACTGACTGGGAATTAATAGTAGATTGTTAAAGGGTCAAACCATTCGTTTTTAGCCGAGAGTGGAAGGAGAAATTCAAAATACGCTGCCCGAATTTAAATTAGTGTTCCGAGGCGCATAATCCTAAGGGATAAAAGCTATACTAAGCCATATTACAGAGAACCCACTATCTCTTTTTAAAAATATATGATAAATCCAATATTAAATTACGAGTCACGCGAAATCGAGTATGTGACTCCATCTAGGAGCATGTTATATCGTTAGTATATCATTCGTGCAGAAAATTAAGTCATTGTTCAAGTTCTTTCCAGAAGATGGCGCTGCTATCCAATACAAATTCTCCTAATAAATATGTACAGAAGCATTAATTAAATTAGTGTTATGTTATCATTTAAAAATTTTAAAGGTGTAATCTACTGTAGGTGCCTCACCTGCCTATCCATTACTAAAAGACAGCAACACTACATGTGTCACATAATTATTAATTATTAGGCCTCTTTTCCATTACACGGTTTCTCGCCGTGAAAATCTACGGTTAATTCGCCGCGTGTAGGCACGGTCGTCAGTGTGGTATGGATCACTATATCGACGTAGGAAAGCACATTTGCTGTAAGTAGACATATTGCAATTGTTCACCAGAGCCAAAAAACTTTATTAATTTCGGAAAAAAATTAATAGTGTCTGACCTATCCATGATATTGCTACCATTTTTGAAACATATATTTATTTAACTGCCAGTCACCATTTGCAATGTAAACTTTTTATCCAAAGTTACTATAAGTACGTGTTTGGCTAGTTACAGCAAACAGTTTTTTAAATCACAAACCTTTAAAACGCTGTAACTAAGGAAGAAAAATGTACGCGCGGAAATATTATCAATTTACAGGCGGTAAATATGCTGTATGCAGGAAATTTATGTATTTGGGTACTTTTAATTGCAATTCAAGATGTAAGATTAGTTTATAATTATGATTAGATCTAGAAATGCAGTGGGTCATTTGGTAATGTAATGTTTGGTTGAAATAAAATGTCGTAAATGGTAAAAAAAAACCAAAACTGTAGGTTCCCTAAACTTGCTGTAAGTAAACGAATGTAAAAATCACACGCCGCTGAAATGCTGTAAGTAGCGTTAAGTTTTTAAATGGGAAGAAGTAAGTATTTGTAAAGAAAAAAATGCAGATTTTCTTTTGCTGTAAGTGCAAAATGTCTGAAATGACTAGATTTTGGTCTACATACAGCATTTAATCTAGCTAAAAATAATATAAGTACGGGCGTTTTCAACGGCGTATGTAATTTTTTTTCATCGTAGAGACACAGGACCCAGGTCATTCGATGCGGCTTTTTTTCTGATTCTAATGGCAGGAAAAAGTCACTTTAGGTATTTTGTCTACTTACAGCAAATATGCTTTCCTACGTCGATATGAGCTTGTCGACATGCACGGTGGCGCCAAGGCACGGCGCCGCGGCCGCGTGCGCCGTGACTGCCCCTCGGCGCGCCGCGTCTACGCACGGCGTGATTTTCACCAGTGTTGTATGGCAGTCTATCGGGGTGTGTCGACGGTGCCGGACGTACGCACGGATTCGTGACCGCTTATATACGCTGTTTCGCGATTTTATTATAAAATGAACATAAATCAAGAATTATTAATTACGTTGATTCAAGAAAGGCCTGTAATATGGGATAAGACCATCGACGATTATAAAAATAAGCGGCTTAAATATGATTCCTGGAAAGAAATATTTATTCATTTCCAGCCCACATTTGAAGATTTAAGTGGTGATGAGAAAAACAAGTTTGGTAAGTTACAGATATTTAATTATTAACTTTTTACTTATGCATAGTTGTTTTGATAGGAGAGGCGACCTTCGTTAGATACAAAATATTGTGCAAATCTGTTGCGAACTTCATTAGCCGCCAAACTTCCGCGAACTGCATTCGTGATAGGTAACTGGATTAGTTCCGATTCTGAATCAAGGGTGGACTCATTTTCACTCGCATTGTGAAACTGAAAGTTTTCCTGCTTATGTATAAAATTTTGCAAAACACAACATGTTTTCACAATATCAACTGCCAAATCGATGGACACATTCATTGGCCGGTGAAAAATTCGCCATTTATTGGATAAAATGCCAAACGCACATTCAACAAATCTTCGCGCTCTTGTGAGTCTGTAGTTAAATGTACGTTTTAATTGATCAAGCTGATGACCACCAAATGGACGAAGCAAGTGATAATGCAAAGCAAAGGCTTCGTCCGCAACGAACACATATGGCAAATCGTAGTCAATTCCAGGCAAACGTGTTGCATCGGGTAGATTTAATCCGTTGTTTGTTAAATTTTTCCAAAATGGGGTCTCTTTAAACACACTGGAATCACACTCCTTTCCGTAGGCGCCAACGTCAACAAATATAAAGTTGTAATCGCTATCTACTACTGCCATCAAAACTATAGAAAAAAAATGTTTGTAATTTAAAAACATCGAGCCACTATCAATTGGCTTAATAAGTCTGATGTGTTTTCCATCGACCGCTCCTAAGCACAGCGGGAAGTTGGAAGATTCTTGAAATTTGCTTGCAATGTGTAGCCAGTCTTCTTTAGATGGCATTTTCATATATTCTTTATACAGTTCTAACCAAATGTAGTGGCATACTTCACGTACGATGCAACTTATGGTTTTTATTCCAATTCTATAGCTGTAGTATAGGTCAGTAAAGGTATCTCCTGTTGCTAGATACCTGAAATATGAAACAAAACGGTTCAGGTTCAAATACTAAAACCCCATTTTAGGTCGGGGTCGATTCAGTTTAGGTCGGGGGTTTTCATAAATTTTGAATTTAATAATTATTATTTATTTATTTTCAGGGAAAATGGTGATGAAGAAGTGGACCAATATGAAAGATAGCTGGATAAAATATGACAAAAAAATTAATGAATGTAAGTCTGGTTCTTCAGCAAAAAAAAATAAGAAAATATATGTTCTATGATGAAATGATGTTCCTAAAAAAAATGTTGAGCATCGCAAGACCGATTCTAACATGACTGAACATGTTCATGATTCTAGCCTCAGTAATGAAAATTTTGATAGTGCAGTCCCGAATCAATCAAGCTCGGGATACACTGAACGGAGTGAGACGCAAAGGGCTAAAAAAAAAAGAAAAAATGAACTAAGTGAAGTTGACATTAGGTTTATGAAGTTTATGGATTCAGCAGAACGAGATGAGAAAAAGAAAAGCCGTAGTATGAACTTTTTTATGGGAATCGCTGATACAGTTGACAAGTTCAGTGATGAAAATATGATAGACTTTCAGTTTCAAGTAATTTCAATAATTAAAAATATTCAACAAAGACAGTGTACTCAGTATATACCTACATCAAGAAACCAATGGGATCAAGGCCATCAAGGATATTTAAGTGGTACAGCATCCTCAAATGCGCAATCGTCAACATATGGATATTCTACAGCTGCTAGATCGAGCTATGGAATAAGTCGTCCACAGACGTCTTCTCATGATTTTGGACACGGTTCTGGTTTAGAGCCAATCCACTACCGACCCGAATCACAATTATCTGTACATAGTGTAAATGCGGAAAGTATCTCGGCAGATTCTCAAGTTTCTATTGAAGACGAATTCGATTTTAGTACCGCACTTGAGTAGCATTTTCAGCGTAGTGTATTTTTTGATTTACTTGTTCTTAAATTAATAATTATTAAAATTCAATTACATGTAATAATTTTGTTTGTGTGCAATAAACAATTTTAAACTAAAATATGTCATTTAATTTTGTACCTACTTACCTCAGAGTTACAGCCAATCTTTCTGCGGGCGATATACTCTCTCGCATAAAAGTATCTTGATGTTTTAGTTCCTGGGATAATTTTTGGAGCAAGTTGTCGAATGTAGTTTTCTGCATTCTAAAATAATTGTAAAACTTGTCTTCATCTTCTCTCAATTGATTTTTGACAAGTGTATGAAACGCGCCATATTCCTCCCTTTTTTCTAAAATCGGATGTATCCAAAACCTTACTTCCCTTTTTTTTCTATTTTCTTTTTCCTATATATGTAATAAGCAACTATAATCTTTTTTTCGTAAGAAAATTCATGACGCAGCACGTCCTACACAGCCCGAGTAAAAAGCGCTACTAGCCAGTACTTACCAATGTCTCGCGCGGTGATTTTGCCGTATCATGTACAAGCTAGCACGTTTTTTCAACCGTACGGCTTACACACCGTACGTTTGAACAACCGTGTAATGGAAAAGAGGCCTTACAATTGGGGCTAACATTTATGTTGGCTGCAGTTTAGGGAGATTATAAAACAAAATTTACAAAGAAAAGAAGTAGTACAAAAAAATCAAAATATGTATTATATATTTTATTAGGCCATAATTAATGACTAATCTAAAACCAATACAAGATTAAAACTATCTCTCATACAAATATTATATGACAACATAACATAAATTATTACTAGACTAATCTAAGATTTAAATACATATTTACGACAAGACAAATTTAGGAGAAAGGAAAAACAAGAGATATGTCAAACAACAATTATCAAATTTAAAATGAATAAAACATTAACACAGTTATAATATATTGGTGGGTGGTTCATTATTTGTTTATTGTAGAATGGGAAATTATTTCAGATATCATATTCCATGCAATACAATTTTGTATGGATTTATCAGTTCCATAGATCCTGTCCATGTAAAACTTGTCATGCTATATATTTTGTCATATAGGAATGTATTTAAAACCCATCAAACAAAGTCAAGTTCTTTTTAGCCTTCGTTGTTTTACAACTATTAACATTGGTGGCAAATCTTAAGGAGTTAAGAGTCTCATTAAAGTTATCATCAAATTGATTAATGTTTACTAACATAAGGGTTTTAGAGTTTCCACCGAGGCTGGGCATAAGAAGATGTGTCAACTTAGAATTCCTGTATGGAATATGTGATTGGTTAGTCTGCAAAGACAAAATCACTTTAGACAGCTCTGAAAGTGATCTATTTATGTGTTTGGTCTCGCCCATCCTCTGTGTTGTTTTCCCACTCTCAGATCCAGCAAGATCTACCAAATTAAGATTGCTCGTAAACTTTTCTTTACGCTTTTCATTAATTGCTGAGATTTTAATTTGGGCCACAGAATGTGATCGTGAACTTCTTTCATTGTTCAATGTTGCAGCCGTTTGTCTGTTCCGTTGAGCAAAAATTAACAACCTGATGAAATCATGAGAGCTTTTGACTTCTTCCTCACGCAAGTTGGAAACATATAATTCTGATCCTTTGGAATTGACCATTTTGATGTCATGGCTCTCTTGATCTTTGTTGGAATCAAGTAAGTCATAAATAACTTCATTGTAAATTTCCAAAAATGAAGCTTTTATTGACAACTCCCAACCCATTTCTTTCAATTCTGCCATGCATTCAAAAATCATATTTATTGATCTTGGAATGATACCATATTCGGCTACTCCATTTCCACCCTCCATTGTGTATGTTTTTCCCGAACCAGTTTGACCATAAGCAAAAATACACACATTGTATCCATCTAGGGCAGATTGAACCATTGAAGAAACATTGGCAAAAACATCTTCTTGTGATGAATGGGGTGTAAAAATTCCATCAAATGAAAAGGTATGTTGGGATTTACCTTTTCTAGCTGAATTCAATAGTTCAATTTTTTCAATTTCAATGGTGCATGCATCAACAACATGTAAATTGTACAGGGGCTTATTAGTTTCAGACTCAAGTGGAGGTCTTACTCGGCAGTAAACTCTTATATTGCCTTTTAAATCTTGTATAGTATTCCTTAGGATTCTCTGGTCTTTATACATGGAATCAACTATGTTTTGTAAGGCATCACGGTGAGTTTGGTTTTTCTTTACTAATTCAAGAGCACATTTGTGATCTTCTTGTAGTATTTCATGTTCTGCTGACACTTTTTTAAGATGTTCATTTAGAACTCTTATTGCTTCATTTTCTTCTTGCAAGCTCTTGTGGCGTCGGCTCATATCATCAATTTCTAATTTGAGCCTATCATTTTCCATTGATTTAATTTTTAAACTATTTGTTACATCTTCCAATATTTTAGTTTTATTATGCAGGTCATCAAGTTCTCTTTTCAGCATTTCATTGTCAAGTTTGAGGCTGTCATGGTCGGCGGTAATCTGTCTCAGCTCTGTTAAACAGTTTTGCAATTTGTCTTTTAATAAAGAGTTTTCTTTAAGGCTGTTATCAGACAATTCTTTGTACTTTTCATAGTCATCAGATACCTCAATGTATTTAGTATTTAACGTAGTCAATTCGCTCTTTATCACCTTATGTTTTTCCACTAAATCATTGAATCTTGCCTTATAGTCATATGGTGGAATTCTCGCTGATACATTTGGTTTTCTTTCCACTTTAGCAGCTTTTGAAGGAGGTTCTACAGCGTTTGCAGAAGCTGCTCTTTTAAGCCGCGGAGCTGCTACTGTAGTACTAGACGTAATTGTTGAACTCGGTTTGGTATGGTTCATAAGAAGCGCTTTTTTATCAAAATCACTGAGTCCATTGCCAATTCTTCTTGTTATATTTGAAAACCCAGGTCTATTTTCTTTAGCCCCTGGCAGCTTTGGAATGCGAGACATCTGCAAGAGGTCAAAAAAACACTGTCAAATAATATAATTATTCACTTAAACCCCTCTTTCGTTTTTCACACACCACAAACTAACTAAACAGCCATTAACGGTCGTTTCATAATTCATTCAAAATTCAAAATTGTTTTGACGCCGACTGAATCTATGTTGCCAGTTCAAAAAAGCAAAAATATTGTGATATAATAATTAAATGACTAATAAATGAACAATAATTATCAAAAATAGGAATGAATAAAAAATATATTTTTTAACTTATTTAAGTAAAAAAATATATTTGAAATTATAAATCTAACAATTGCGTTACTTTTTCAATGATTTGAAAATTTAATAGAATATACAGACGATAGTTTCTAATTATACAATTTTATTTATTAAGCTGCTAAATATTAACACAAATAAAAATTAAGTGTGTACTTTGATATTTTTAAAAACAATATTTTAAGGTTTATGCTATTTTATGCCTATTTACGCTATCCTTGGTGTATATAGTCTGTTGGTAATTGTCAGCTTGTACAATATAATATGTCATTGTGACTATGACAAAACCACAGAACCATCAGCCGTTTACTGTCAGCTATTAAAATGTGATTCGTAAATTAGAATTATGTCAATTGCTTATTTCGGAAATCGTTCCGATGTGTTTTGTGGTGCATCTAAGTGGGCAAATGTGAATTAATTGTGTTTAGTTGGAATATTGAATATTCCACTAAAATAAAAGTTTCGTGCATTTCCGCTTTATTAATCACGGCTTTATAAAGATCTTCTATACTTTAAGTAAAATATCTAGGGCCTGTTTATCGCTATTGGCGGATGTCCTTGTACATTTTGCAAGAATTGTCGTGGCGGTAAATTTGATTTACAGTTTATTGTTTTAAATATTATGTGATCTTTTATATGTTTGTGATCTCGCGATGGGGAGTCCCGCAAAGGAATTAAATTTAACTGTAAGCACAAGTGATAATTGTAAGGTTTTAGATCAAAGCGTATCTAGTGTTGGAAACAATGTGGTTGATAATTCAGATACATCACAAATAGACACATCCAATAATGTTACGGTTAGTGATGCCAATTCGTCTAAAGAAGAGGAGTCGATTATTGGAAATTCAAAGAAATTAAAGAAAAAGACTCGCCATGGCAAGAAAGGTGCTCTAAAAGAAAATCCAGAAAGGAGTACTGTTCGCAGGCTACATCACGCAGGCACAAAATTTAAGCAAACTAAGAAACGTGCACAAAGTTTTCCATCTATTTCTAAGTTTTTCCTTCCATACAATCGTCCGCGAAAGGAAGCCTTTATTCCTCCGACGAAATTTTTACTTGGCGGTAACATATCTGATCCCCTGAATCTTAATAGCTTACAAGATGAGGATGTCAATAGAGCTATGAATGCTGTTACACCTGAATCTTCTCCATTACCCACACCACCACGACACAAGGCAAAGATAGATGTGATTATTCCACCTAACATAAGAGATCCTTTGAATCTAATGGAACCTCTGGACAATGAGGAGTATGAGAAGAGGCTTGAGATGCAGCAACGCAAAAAAACACCTAGGAAGAAGCCACGCATTAGACGTCGAACAGCAGAATCTGTTGCAGCCGATGTTGAGGCTACTGTGGAAGAAAAGGAGCACATCAAAGAACCACCTCCACCCGAACCATCATCTTCAAAGTCGCGCAAACGTTCATGTAGTGACAGTGACAATAATTCGCAAAAATGTAAAGATGCCAAAAAACTACGCCGCATGGAATCTCTGGATAAAATTGTTAGTCCTGTGGTTCCACAACCTGGTGCATGGATGAGGGCAAGGCCCCAACAAAGGACAGGGCCACAAGAAAGACCAGCATCTCCTCACAGGACCAAACTGAAGAGTCTATCTGAAGGTGAACAGAAACTGCCAACTTTTCACCCAAAGAACTCTCGCTATCAATATGGAAACTATGATAGGTAAATTTAAACCATTATTTAATATATTTTGTAGCGTCCTGATATTTGATTTCACACAAAATTATTAACAGTGTTAACTTTTCTCTGACGTTTTATAATGAACGCCCATTCATGCTTATGCCTACTTTAATATCAACACCTTACTTTCAGGTATTATGGATATCGTAATCTCAATGCAATGATGGATATTCGTCTGCAAGTATTTGAAATGCATAGGCATTTGTTCCAAAATAAAGATATCTTGGATATTGGTTGTAATGTTGGTCATATCTCCATAGCAGTGGCTCGTACACTTGGTGCCAAATCAGTTGTGGGCATTGACATTGATAATCTTCTTATTGGTAAGTTAAAATATATCTTATGCAAGCATTTCTGTAAGTGTAAATCTATTAAAAGTTATTATTTACAATACTAATTTAAAGTTCTCAAATAAAACATACCAATTTTTTTATGATGGATTAAAACTATTAATATGGAAAGCAATTTCTTCTTTTATTCCACTATTGTGTTGCTCTTACATAGGACTTAAATTCTGGAAGCATATATTTTATATCAAATAGAAGTATATGGATACAATTGAAATGACAGGGTTTGGAGGTAGTTTTAAAATAACGGCTACTACTAATTTATGAATTCCCTCAAAATATATATTTTTTTTAATCTTAATAATATTCTTATTATTGTCATAACTAAACTATACACATGTTAAATAAAACAAATTATTATATGATTTCAGGAAGAGCGCGTAAAAATCTCCATTCGTTTATACCAGTCCCATTACCACAGCCAAAGGGTGACGATGAGAAAAAGCCAGAAGATCTACACGATGATAAGAAATTACATTGCGATAAATGTAAAGAAGAGAAATGTGACTGTTCTGCATCAGAGCAGAAGGAAAAAGAAGATGACAAGAAAGGAAGAAAGATTAAAAGACCCAGAAAGAACCGAAAGGCTATTGGCAAGCCCGAGGGTCAGTGTTTCTTTCCCATGTCAATGTCAATGATGTATGGTCCAATGGGAAATGTTCCCGAGGAAACAACACCAGCAACATTTCCATATAATGTCACATTTAAACAGGTATTTTAATGTTATAAGTGTATAATTTAGTTCTAAATCTAATTGTTTTCAGCCCATTTTCATATACACATGATATACTATCTGTTCCCTGCATTTTTTTGGTTTTTTTTTTTTTTTGTTTAAGAATAACTTTATTTCTCATAAGAATTGAAAATTCACTTACTGAGAAACACATATTTAATAAAGATACAAAAACGGTTTGCAACTACTACGATAAAAATATTTCTAAGGCATTAAAATCTTATGATTAGGATTAATTTGCGTTTGGATCAATATCATAATAATAATAAATCATTTATTTGCAAGAAAGTGGTACATTTATATCGATCAAATATGAAAATCCGCACAAGCAGCCACACAAAAATAGGCATGCAAAGATCACATTAATTTTCTCAGAATCAATCAAAATCTCTCATGATAATAAGTCAAGCTATTTATAATTAATTGTTGTCAAACTTATGGGCCAAATACTGGCCTACGCTATAAAAGTACCTCGACTTTAACTAAGCGTTTACGAATACAACAGAATCATTGTTTCAGCTTCGCCCCTATTCGCCTTCAGCCTATCTAATATAAACATTTTTTTTATTTGAACCAGTAAATTCGGAGCTGAGCCCTTTCAACTATATAAACCAAACGCTTATAATTTTACCTAGTCGGTAATGTATTAATCTTAATATATATATTTCTTGTGTGCGTGTGTATGTGACTGAACTTCTCTCAAACGACTGGACCGATTTTGATGAAATTTTTTGTGTGTGTTCAAGGGGATCTGGGAATGGTTTAGATTCACAAATCAGCCCGGCAGATGGCACTGCAGTCGGTACTTTCATACTTTGCTTAATATCCTAATCGCTTTAAATATCATGCAGGACAACGTCTGTGGGGTCCACTAGTATTATATGAAAATCAATGTCTGTGTAGTGCAACACAATCATTTTTCATACCATTTCTATGAGAGTAACAAATAATGATACTTGTCATGTCTGTAAAATTAGTGTAGGTTTAAAATTATGGCTTTTAATTCAAATTCAAAAATCATTTATTCATGTAGGTAACAAAATGTACACTTATGAACGACAAAAACTAAATATGTATGAAATGCTTCTAAATTTACATTTACTGCCAGTTCTCAAATCAGGGGCGTAGAACGGAAGAGAAAAACTCCGCCACTCTTTAATCGCCAAGATTTTTGTTTTATTTTAATTAATTAATTGGACAGTCTTGTCAGGTTCAAATACAAGAATATAACATAAACAAGTCAGAGTATGCCTTGAAAATTATTCACTCGGCTCTTTAATATTCATTTAACAATGGGATTATAATCCACGCATATTTAATGTAGCGAAACAAAGTAAAATACCACACAAATACATCAATTATTGTTGTAATAACTTTCCTATCTAAAGTAATATTTCGGATTTACATAAAATACTTTTTTTATAGAACAGGGGGCAAAAGGGCAGGGGAATCTATATGTGTTACCTATAGTTCAAGTGAGTGCCGTTTAACTAGCGGCCTTAAAGATATTCAGCCAGTTGAGCAAACAGCTAGGCAAATGACTTGGATCGATGACATTTCATGATTGATAGTTAATTTAAATTTAGTCTGCCACTCTCAAAATCGAAACGAAACTCTTCAAACTGTCAATATGGCGTTGGCAAACCAGAACTTTGATGGTGTTTTCAAAAAGTTTAATGAAAAATAACAAGAACAATGGAAGCGTGTAGTGACAATAATAATGTGAATTAAGCTGTGACTGAATCAAGTACAAATTTATTTTATAAAAAAATATTTTTATGTCAGATGTTATTTTTTTTTATTTCTGCCTCATGGTCACTCTATCGTACAAATGGCATAAGCCAGCGTGTTTATGTTGTAACAAACTCTACGGCTCAATATCTTACAGGCCGCTAGTTAAAAGGCTAGGCTGTTAATTGAATGGCTAATTAAGCTAGTTGGCAACATATATATAATAAAAACTATATAATTGTATATACCATATTGCTTTTATTATGGTTCTATTCTAAATCATATATTTATAAGATGTTTTACTATTTACAGGGCAACTACGTGCCCCGTGAAGATGTGGCAGTGGGGTCTATGGAGTCACCACAATTCGATCTGATCCTGTGTCTGTCTACCACGAAATGGCTTCATTTAAATTGGGGTGATGCTGGTATTAAGCGAGCGTTTAAAAGAATGTTCAATGATCTACGTCCCGGAGGAAAGCTCGTGCTTGAAGCACAAAACTGGGCTAGCTATAAGAAGAAAAAGCGTTTAACGGTAAGTTTATTTTAATTATTACTCAGTGGCGTAACTATACCATCTGGGCACCTTGAAAATTCTTTTGATGGGGCCTATCAGTATAAATCGTCCCTACTCAGTTAAATTTTAATAAACTTCGAGATTTTCAGCGTACTCAATTACACGTTGTATATGTACCAGTGATGGCCATAGTCCTCCTCTCTTAGGCTAGAGGGAATGGTCTGTAGTCCCCACGCTAGCCCAATGCGTATTGGAGACTTCACATTCATCCATGGAACATAATATCCATTGGGCAGGGGCCCTCTTGGTATTTTGCCAGCCCTGCTACCCTATTGTTACGCCACTGTTATTACTGCTATAATATTCGGGGTATAGGCCAAACAACGGACTGCCGACGTTCTCCTATATAATAAAATCTTCCTATCTATCGAATCCGAGATAGTCATACTATATCAAAAAAAAGGGTGCGTGTACTTATGTACGCGCGTAAGAAGTTATACTTCTTTGGCATTATTAAAAATAGTTTTTGATTGCATGCAAATAATTAATTACAATTAAATAATCAAAGACTGGAAAAGGAGTCATTATAGTCAATTAAGTTCAGTTTACATTTTAAAAATTAAATAAATAATTATTTATTATTATTCTCTTACATTAAGTGTAACATAAATTCTATTTAGTTAAAAGTATATATAATTATATATTTAGAACATCTCTACCAAACACTAAGAAGTATGTTGTAGCTTTGGCAGTATTGCACAATATAAAATTAATAAATTTCTTTGAAAAAATAATCAAAACTCCTTTATTTGTTTAAAAGGTAAATGACAAATGTCATTATGGTCATTCAAAATTCTTGGCATACGAACTTCACGCATATTCTATTTCTTTTTACTTGTAGATTGTCTTATTCCTATCTCGCTCGCGCACGTTATAATCACACTCCCAATTTTGTGTCACAGGTGCGCGCGCATCGTAAGATTTCACTCTCATAAATTTTTCATAACGCGCCTAAAGAAGTATAACTTCAAAAATACATAAAAATTAGGCTAGGTGAATTGGGTTTCGATTCTATAGAAATCTTAATACTTCATTTCCACACGCACGCCTATTACATCTCTCCAACAAACACATTAATAATCTTATTTTTATTTTATTTGTTTTGTAAATTACAGGTCCAAGTGTGAGGGCAAAGTTATTCGCATTCATAATATTCCAATAAGGAAGTTAACAATTTATGTTGTTTTTACAAATAGTTGAAGACTGACTATCTTTATACTCAGTTCTTACATAGATATTAGCACAAGCATAGTCACAGAATATATAATATTTTTTTTTTGTTTCAGCCAACAATTTACGAGAACTTCAATTCAATTGAACTGTTCCCGTACAAGTTCCGCGAGTATCTACTTTCACCCGAAGTAGGTTTCAGCAAGTGCTGTGTTCTAGGCGTGCCCCAACATGCCAGCAAGGGGTTCACGCGTCCCATCCAGTTGTACGTTAAAGGGGACTTCACCCCCAGCAAGGCCCGATGGTCGGATGCGTACGCGCCGTCATCCCATCACAAGCCCGAAGCCGAGTCTCCCCGTCGGACGGTGTACGCCCCAGTGGCACCTGCGTACCGGCCGAGCGACGATGCGCCATCTTGCGGGGCCGTTACCCCGTATTCGCCGAACTTGGATTGCAGCGCCGACGATTCGCCCTTCTACAATCCGCGGAGTGACTCATACGCGCCGTCGTACCAGCCCCCGAGGCCCACTGTGTATGCGACGATTCCGTCTCCCCTGGGAAGTGCATCCCCAGCGGCGTCCCCCGCCGCTTCCCCTGCCCCCCACGCGTCCCCCGCGCTTGACCCCTTGACTGCGAGAGGATTCCCCGCACCGGAACGCCTACACGACGACTGAACGTCATTCCGCCTTTGTAAATATCGGTAGATCCCCTAAAATTAAGGCTGAGCATATTTTATAATAAATTCTTATTTGTAAGCAGTTACGTCTCTCCTGTTTTATTTTTAACTTTATTTTTGATTATACGACATGTCTTGACTGAATAAACAACTGTTTTCTACAATAATAAATAACAAACAACATAGTAACGTATCCTATACTTAAAATAAAAAAATACTATGCAAAATATAATAGCATAAGTTTTTGGTTTGCCTGATTCATTGATCTTTCTCTTGATTTATCAATCTTTATAGATATATCAGCCATCTGAGCCTATCAAGTAACAACAAAAAACTTACAAACCGGCTTGAATCTAATAAGCGTATACCACTGAGCTCATGAAATTAGTCGCGTGATAATAATGTCAGTGTATAAATTAACAGCACGAAATGCCATATAAATTTTCTAGTAGATAATGTTTTATCTAATACATATATAAAATTCTCGTGTCGCGGTGTTTGTAGTTAAACTCCTCCGAAACGGCTTGACCGATTCTCATGAAATTTTGTGTGCATATTGGGTATGTCTGAGAATCGGACAACATCTCTTTTTCATCCCCCTAATTGTTAAGGGTAGTCCACCCCTAAATTATTATTATAATTTTTTTATGATACAGCATTAAAAAATACATACAACCCCTAATTTTCACCACTCTACGATCAACGCCTATTTTTTATTATAAATGATATACATGGCAAAACGACGTTTGCCGAATTGTAGAATACATATAATAATACGCCTCCTGGTGGAGGCGAAGTGAAGATGAGTACAGCGATCCAAGAGCACTAAAATTATCGCTCTGGGAGAGCACACGTGTATTGTTATGTTCCGATGTGACTAAATACAAATATTAGACGTATTACGTCATCGTCATTATAAAATGTTAAATCCTACGCAATGCGTATGTATAGTAGGAAGCATGATGGGCTTTTTTATTATATGTATAGACTATAGATAGTTACATCCTTTTAAATAAAGAAGATCTTACAGATACCTCCTTATATACAATATATATAACTCAAAATTAAATATTTTATTCACTTACAACAATATATAATTAATTAAACTTTGAATATTGATTCTCTTTATTATATATTTAGCAATTTGTTTGACAGTGCGATTGACAATTGACAGATATCGACAAGTTAAAAATAAAACATTTCGTTTATTTGTTTGTAGTTTTTAAATTTTTAAGTTTTCTGTGAAACATTAAAATATTGCCAAATTTACGTGTTATTAAAATATAAATGTGAAAAGTTCGATAAAAATGTTAAAATTAGATATACAATGATAATAAAAATAGTTTCAATGCAATATGAGTATTATTAAAAAAGTTTTCCCATTATTGTCGTTTATAATAATTATATTAAGATATTATCAGTGTAATGGCATAAAATCTGACATACGGCATCATTTAGGTACTCGTACGCCATATAGAATTAAATGCAACAAAGATGATTTTAAGATAAAGTTTCCTAGTAAGTAACCCACTATTTTTGTATGGAGTATCAGATATTTCAATAAATATACATTCTTCATATCTTCCAGATTGTAAAGCACACAAAATATGGATGCTCTTACGCCACGGCTCTCGTCTCCCTAGCGCAAAAGACATAGTAGGAGCACAAACAGTTTTACAAAACTTGAAATATGAAGTGCTATTACAGCATAACATGGGAAAGGGTGAGTCCATAGATTGGAGTAAAGCTTGCAATTAAGCTTTCCAACAAATGCCTAACCTGAAATCCTGAGATTATTGTGTATTTGGTGCTTTTAAAGTTTATGTTATAAGATTTAAACAGTGTATTAATTTTTTTTTTATACCATTATAGGACTTTTAAACAAGGAGCAGTTGCAAACATTTGAACATTGGACCTGTGATATGCCAGTGGAAGAAGAGAAATATTTGACCTTAGAAGGACAAGATGAAATGGTTTTACTAGCTGAGAGAACACAAAAAGATTCCCAAATATTGTTAAGCAAAAGTATGATAATAACAGCTTCCAGGTAAATCGTGTTTAAATACAAATTACTTCAGTGGTCTTCAGGTATCTGTTTCAATTATAATATTTCTCCTTAGGTGTTGGCAAGCCCTCTGTGCCTGCCTTTATACATCCAGCTGTTCACTTTATACAAAGTGAATTTCAATAAATGCCAGAATAAGAATGAATTTTATAATTTGGAAGCTGAGAAATAATTCCTAATTTTTTTTTGTTATCAAGTTTATATATTCTTCTATTCACAGTTTAGATATACAGCAACTCAAAGAACACAACAGAGTGCAAAATATTTTTCTATTGGGCTGTTTGATAAAAATAATGCTCACAATGTTGTCTTTGAACCAGCCCTGAAAGTAGATAATACACTCCGGGTATGTTTTGCTATTTCATATAATAAATATTACCAAACAGATTGTATTTTTGCCTTGATTAATCATATTTATTATTCTCAATTCATCTCAATTTTGTAAACTGATACTTTTCTTTGTAAGTCTGTGATGTCCTTCTAAGCTCTACATTCCAAAACAATATTTATTTCACCTGAAATAGAATCTATGCCTACAAATAACCCATTTTATAGATTATAGAGTAATTCTATAGATAAATGCACTTTCAGTTTTACAAAGATTGTGACAGGTGGAAAAAAGAAGTCAAGAAAAATCCTGAAACTTTTAAGGAGCAAAAATTATATGGCATTAGTAAAGAAATGAATGAAACATTATCAAATGTTTCTAAATATTTGGGTCTTGATAGGGTGTTGAGTTTGGGTTTGTATTTATACAAATCATAGCTTCTTGCTTTTGCTGCATCTTTAGCTATAGCTTTAGAAATGTAGCTCTCTCCTATAGTATTTCTATATAGTTTTTATATATTCTTATTCTTACCGCATTCTCACACCCACACCATTAGACCCTCGATAGCTCCAGCAAGATTGAAGGCACCATTGCTTTTTGAAATATTCTTTTAGCTTTATATGTTTCTGTTCTATGCTTTAACCCAATGCCTTGTATATTTTATTCCCTGTACTTATTCATATATTTTGTGACGCGGGTTAGTGAAGACAATTAATAAATAGGATTAATTTAGTAAGCACTCATATAGAGACGGTAAACTTCACTTAAAATTAACTGCTTTGAACATTATGTTTCAGTAGATAATGCTTTTGCTAAACTAGCTCTAAAGACGAACATGTATTGTTTTTTGTGGTAAAAAGTTAGATTTATAAGATGTCGTAATGTTTCGTGAAAAATTTCATTAAAAGTTCTGTTCGCTTTTAGTATGTATTTCGTTTATCTCTTTAGAGTTGTTACGTCTAGATCCTAGTTTATTTACTTTATTTTGGCATGATTCCAGACTTCCGATATTTCAGACATTTTTTGTTTAACAACATATTATTGTTTAAATTAAATTACATGAAATATGATATTTGGTTTAATTGAGTACTTACTTAAGTAAAACTTAGGGGACATAAACGCGAGTTAATTTAATACATTTTTGATTTACCAAAAACTCTGAAATTTATACAATTTGTATAAACACAATTACTAAATATTTTTCGGACTTTGGCTTGCCAGCAATTATTAGTTATGGCTTACTTATTAAATTGATTATTTTTTATTGTTTTTAGATGTGGTATCACTGATGTATAAAATTTGTGGCTATGAAACGTCATGGCATAAACATTTTGCATCACCGTGGTGTTGCCCATTTGATGCTACAAGTATTCAGGTATTTATTTCTATTGATTTTATGTAGAATGTGAATAATTCTTTATTATCAAGGATTATTTACAAAGATTAAGGGAAACTTTGTCACCCGTCTATAGCGAGCATATTGGGGTCCATTGTATTTCACGGACCGACCCCTACACTCCTCGGGTCACTTTGTAAAGTTGGTCCGGCGCGGTAGTCAGTAAATTGATTCCCCAACAACAAAAAGGGGCAAGGATTATTTAAATGGTTTCTTAACATAAATATATTTTTATTATTAATAATAATAATATTTAGTTTATTACTGGAGTATACTAACAATTAATAATAAATATTAAAAGAAGATATAAAACCAGTGGTGCCTTTTAAGATGGGCTTTAGATTTTTCTTATGTTTCGTGATCATTTGTTTTTTCTAATAGGCAATTATCTGTGCCTCACGAGCGAGTGTTTAATGCACATAGACAGAAAGTCCATTGGTGCAAAGCTGGGATTCGAACCTATAAACCACACGCTTAGGGGTCTCTCAAGTATTACGTAAGCAGATTTACTGAAATTTATCCTCCCCCTCCTCTTGTCAGAAAAAAATAGATTAGTTAAATCACTAAATAAGAAAATCAAAGACCCCCCTCCCCCCTATAGTGCTTACGAAATACTTGAACTTACCAGTAACCCAGGCCACTGCTTCAAAATAGAATTATTACTTTTGTGAATATGATTATTTATAATTACAGAGATTGGAGTATTATTATGATTTAAAACATTACTGGAGCGATGGGTACGGACATAATATGACTTTACGTCCGGCTTGTATGCTTTTGAAACATATGTTTCATACTTTACGGTGGGTTTCATATATGGTCTTACAGTATAGATATAAAAGAGCGGTAACTGAACTTACTGGACAGCCTTAAAGGCGGTTATCGCAGCCCATGGGTATCTATGTTAGTGGATGTTTGTTGCTTGCGTGTTGTTCCCACGAGAATGTAAGTGCGTGCTCCTATTTCACCATGCCTTCTGCTGATAGAGGACAAATCTTTGTTTTTAATTTATGTTATTATTATTTATTATGTGGAACATGGTGTAATGGTTGCAGCTCCTTACAAACGTTGTGTAAAACAAAAAACTTGGCGATTAAAGAGTGGCGGATAGTTTATTGCCAGTTCTTCTCTCCCGTTCTACGCCCTTGATTTGAGAACTGGCAGTAAATGTAAAATCAGAAGCACTTCATATATATATATTTTTTGACGTTCTTAAGTGTACATTGCGTTACCTATATGAATAAATGATTTTGAATTTTCACTTTTTTGACTTTTTTGGCTAAAGCAATGGTTACAACAAGCTTACCGCGTCATAGTTATAAAATAAATAAATAAATCAGTGGCGCTACAACCTTTTAAAACTGGACCTCAGATTTCTGTATCAGTTTCTTTGTCATTTGTCAATCTAGTAGGTAAGTAGATGATCTGCCTCCTGTGCCTGACACACGCCGTCAACTTTTTGGGTCTAAGGCAGTCCGGTTTCCTCACAATGTTTTTCTTTACTGTTCAAGCGAATGTTTAGTGCGCACATAGAAAGAATGTCCATGAGATGGACATTCGGGATGGGATGAGAGTCGCTCGCTGAAGCCTCTAGGCCAACACTGCGAAATATTAATAGCGATTAAAATATTGTGTGTTCATCCCACGTGCTCGTTTCAGCCTGTTGTAATTCACTGGGCATAGGCCTCTCCTCTAAACTTCCAGTATGACGGCTTCTTCACGCTCTGCATCCAACGCCTTCCCTTCACATTCACCAGGTCATCTGTCCACCTAGTCCAACATAATAAGGCATTTCGTAACATAGGATTAATTTTAGGAATGAGAGTCGAAATGCGACATTTTTGTTCGCCCATTCCGGTACGCTGTTGAAGTTGTTGGCGCATCTTCAGTTATACAAACCAAAATCACATTTAAGGGGTGACTATGTTGATGATGATAGGACCTGGAGAGCTTCCAACATAGATTGCTTTGCATCGAACATAGCCTTCGTCATGTACAAGTGAGTAAAAACCCCCCTTTTTTATGTATCAGAAACAGGAGGCTCATCTGATGTTAAGTATGCCCATGGACACTCTGAATGCTAGAGTGCTTGGGAGGGCTAATTCAAATTGGTTCGGAAATACTTCAGTGGGCAGTTGGTTCCACAAAAACTACTTATTAAACCTACTCGTAAAAGAGGTCATAGTTAAAAAGTTGCAGACTTTTTTGTAAGAGTAAATGGTGGGAATATCTGCTGTATATGCATGGCATGGCATGGTATAGTATGACATGCACTTCATGATATGACCACTTTCGGGGAGGCTATTATAGTTTTGTTTATTATCTTTGTATTGGTTTATTTTTATTTGGTACAGACAATGTATGACGATAGATAGGATTGAATAATACTAAAAAAGGTACCTTTATCATAAAAGAGAAACGCAAATATACTTCCGTCCGAAGCACACACAATTTAAGACACAGACATTTCTGTGTCTGTATTTATACTGTAGCGTCAATCTACGGCTGCAATCATTGTTATGACGTTAAACCCAGAAATGCGCTAACAAAGTTATTAAGGCCGCTATGGATATATACTCGACCTCAGCCACTGGGACTTTCGGGCCAGTCAATGCTTGGACTGTTCGAGGACCCTCCCTTTGTGGAGAAAAAAGTACACCGTCCTTCAATAATATCAATATTTTGCTTTAATTTTTCTTAAAGTGATAGCTTATCAGAAGTAAAATCGTTATAATTAAAGAGAATTGTCAATCTCCAATGTATTACTGATCGGCTTGATTCTCTCTCTCTCTACGCAGAGACATTACGTCTCTTTGCCTTTTCTATAAAGTGTACTACGGTGAGTGTTCTCAAGAATTATTTGGGTTTATCCCTCCTGCCTCGTTTCAACACCGTACGAGCCGTATCATTTCAAAATTTCATTAACATCACCTTGATGACTGGAAGTCTTCCACAGTCCGATTCACAAGGCACTTTCTTTTACGAACTAGCTACGAACTAACTGTGGAATCGACTCCCGGTGGGGATCTTCGCTGAGAGATCAGCTAACCTCCAACTATTCAAAGTTGTGTACTTCTCCCTCAAAGGCACGCACGCACCCACTAAAAATGCATGATTATATAAAAAAAAGATTATTGTGGCTTGCGGAATTCTGTGTAGTGTGTGTTGTTCGAAGGTTCGATTCCCAGCGAAAATGATATTGGGCTTGTTACGTTAACGGGGCAAAAAGATATCTTAAAATATTTAATTTTTCAGATGTAAAGATGGCGATAAAGTTCTAACTCTACACCAAGAAAGAGTTATAAAGCTGCCAATGTGTGATAAGGAGCTATGCCCGTTGACACTTCTAGAAGAATATTTTCATAATTCTATACACAATTGTAATCATGCAGATATTTGTAATGTTTCGTAAGCTTCAACATAATTGTTTTATAAATATACATATATACCAGTTCTGTAGTTGTTTTATTTATAAATATACTAGCGGATCCGACAGATATTGTCCTGTACAAACGTCTTACATAAAAATTCTAATAATGTAAATCATTCTCGACTCCACTTGAACACACAAAAATTTTCATCAAAATCTGTCCAGCCGTTTAGGAGTTTTATTACATATGCACAGAAGATTTATATATATATACCAGCTGTTTATTTGCTGTATAGTCAAATAACCTACCGACTGCAGCACCATCTGCCGGGCTGATTTGTGAATCTAAGCCATCCAGGGCGACACCAAAACGCAGGCAAGAAATTTTATTGAAATCGGTCCAGCCGTTTTAGATGAGTTCAGTGACATACACACGTACAGTAGAATTATATATATAAACGTACAAATTGGCTTCAAAACTCTTCTGTGTAAATCATTAAAAGAGTACCGAGAGTTTTTTACGCCGGCTTTTTCTCTCGGCCTACAACACCCTCTGTCTTTTTTGCCGATGAGTAGGGATGCCTACAAATTCAAATTTAATGACGTGGAATTCGTGATACCCTGTATCTTATATTCCATAATAAACATTTTTTATTATCTATACTGTTGCAAGAGGAGGATCGGGTACACTGATTGGAACGTGAACAAAGAGCAATTTTTAAATAAGCCGATCGCAAACTGTATTGATATCCCACATTCAAACTCACCTAGAAACAAAAACCTATTTAGTAAGAAAGATAAATATCTTAGCGACCTGTTATATCTGATATATATGATATCGCGAACTCCGTGGACTAATAACAGACGTTTTATATTTATCATAAAATCACCCGATCTATAGATTCTGAGATAGTCTACTATAATATGTCTTGGCATGGCTCTGAGGTTGCAGAAACTAACCCAGACACGTCGCACGCGCGCTTACATCTCTCAGCCACACTAACGCACACACACCCACACACCCACACATTCTATTTCATTTGATTTAGCATTAAGACTAATTAAACAATATTTGTATACATACCTTATATTCCTTTTTAACATGTACCACGGAAGAGCTGTAATCTAGTTACCCACGACAGAGGGGCTCCTTAGTTTGGGTGCTAGCATCAGAACAATTTGATCACAACCATATTTTGTCATGGAAAAGGTTTATTATTATTGTTAGGTATATTTACGATTAAGCGTTGCGGTTGTTTAACCGTAAGGTTCCGTTCAAATACGGCCAGAATTTATTATTAGGTATACTCGGGAACAGATGGGTATAAATAGAAATAGTGAACTAGTAATGGAACTTTTCTTCATCTCTAGGGAAACCAGAGGTGATGAGAACTTGGAAAAACTATTCATGGTTGGTAACACAGAAGGCAAAAGATCACGTGGCCGTTCCAACCAGATGGACCGATCAAGTGAGACTCATCGTTCTCAAAACTATACACTGTTATAAGAGAGGCGCTGGATAGAAAAGAAACCGATGGAAACAGATGGTCCGCTCCAGATACTTCTTTGCTGGCCACGACGCTCAGACATGACCAACCGACTGGAGAGAGATACCTCTAAGATTACTTATACAGCTCCATACTCTGGGAAGGCGATACATTTATTTTATTTATTTAAATCATGAAAATTCTTAACATGAATACATACTAACTTTGTCAGGTATAATTATAATTACACCATATCCCATTTAGATAATTCCGGACCAATAAGGGCCCACTGTGTAAGGACGGCTACGCAGTCGCGAGGCAGTAATGGCATTTCATAACATCATATTTGCTATATTTGTATATAAAAATACCATTTATCATAGACATGCCTAGTTACGAAGACGCTTTAGTTAGTCGAAGTTTGATAAAGTCCAATATTAGCAATTGATAAGTTTTGATTGAGCTTTGGAGCGAACTTGATGAGTAATCTGAAATTTCAATTTCCGTTTTAGAAATTTCCTAATTAACTCTCTGTCATGTCTAGGTTACCTCATTGTTAAGAAATCAAATTAAAAATTGTTTGAACTTCTGCTAAAAATATAACGTGAAAGTGGATAATACTCTTTCTACTAATTAATGTCTAAAAAGTTTCTATAAAGCAAGAGATCGAGATTACAATATAGAATATAACTTTTTTGTTTCATAGAGATGGAATTCCAAAAATTCCAAATCACTGCTGTGTGTATGATTTTTCTTTCTATGTGCAATGTGCATATTAGGATTAGATTTTAATTCGAGACTAAGCGCGAATAATGACTTCCGTATTATAGGCTCTCCTCATGTTATTTATTTGTTATTTTCGCCGCCCATGGACACTTAATGTCAGAGCCTTTTAATCCCTTTTCAAAATTGGTACTTTTAGCGCAGAGTTGCCCCTCCTGAATACGAATGTCAGCCAGTCCACTAACGAATGCTGGATGAATAGAGTCGGAATCTTACCCTAAAACCCAAGGCTCATCAGACAAAAGGCTGATCACATACTTTCCTATAAAGAAAAATGATATAACAGAAACCAGAGACCAAGAACAAAAGCGGGCTCCACTCGTGGATTTGTGTGTGTGTGCAACGTGTGTTCTCCGTTATTCGCAGGCTTATCGTACATAATATGTTCATTTAATAACATTGTTACAAAGAACCTTGCAAAGTTTATCGGTTATAAACCGATATGCGATATAAAAATGATCGTGAAAAATTTAATATGCAGGTAACATTGTGTCAACGGACAGCCCACACGGCAAATGTACGTTATATTTTGTAAACATGCTACTTTGTGAAAAGGTCGTCATAAAATGGTTCCAAATAAATTGACGTGATGGCAGCGACGACATTAAAGTGCCCTTTTTAAATCGCACGTAAAGCAAAGAAGAGAAGAATAAAAATGAGGCTTCGTTCTTTGTCACCGTAAAATTTTAAATATTATTTATTATTTCGAAATCACCTTGAAATTATATAACAATTTAGGTCCAACTTAGGGTCCTTTATGAAAAGAGCGTACCAATTCTTAAAAGGCCGGCAACGCACTCGCAAGCCCTCTGGCATAGAGAGTGTCCATGGGCGGCGGTATCACTTAACATCAGATGAGCCTCCTGCCCGTTCGAGCCCTGTAAAAAAACCAAGTTAACAAAATTAATATTGGTTACAATTATACAAAATTCCCTCTTTCGTTGTTCCTGCTCTAATGGAGGAGATTCAATTCTCTTAACAAACCAATGTTGAAGGATTCCTCAGTTAGTTAAACAATCATTTATTTATTGAATTAGATTAATATTTCGTTTTGTTAGCCCATTTAACATTAAATAATAAAAAATAATTTAATTAATTCAATTTAAAGACCGGCAACGCACTTGCGAGCCCTCTGATATTGAGAGTGTCCATGGGCGGCGGGTCTAAGTCAAAGTCAAATCATTTATTTCAATTAGACCACCTAAAATGGCACTTTTGAACGTAAAACAAAATACAAAAGAAGATTCTAGTTGCGCCTTCCAAAATGTAGTTTCGTGTGGAAAAGAATGTGCAAGAAACTCCACACTTACTCTTTTAAAATAGGTTTACAATATTTTGTTTACATTAGTTAAATAATTATAAAAGAAGACAATGTACTCTTAGAATAAAACTACTATACTAAAAAAGTTAGTATACATGTTCCTCACATATTTACAAATATCGAAACCGTAGAAAATTATACATTAAAGAGTAATAAAAATAATAGAAAAACATCATCAACTCATTTAACATCAGATGAGCCTCCTACCCGTTTGCCTACTGTTATAAAATTTTAGTTGCACGCCATTATGTGTGGCAGAATATGCGAATTTACGATTGTACCAGCATAACATTTTTGTACCATATTCTTGCAATAAATTATTACTTGTACCAGTAATTAACATTTCTGTGTTTAAATATCTACTTTTTCTAGGTTATTGTTAACAATATTAATTTTTAAAAGTATTTAGTACAAATTAGTGAAAGTATATCAAGTTTCGTTCGTAATCTTCCAAAACACTTTAATAAATTCATGGAACTCTAATTCACGCGTTGACCTTCGTTTTGTAAAATTATGACAATGAGTTCGTAAAGAAATTACTCGCAATAACCGAACCGGGTCACGATCGTTTTAAAATCGTTTACAAATTCGTAACAAACATTCCCTGACACTTTATGACTCATTAAACGGATACAGTGAACGGATTGTCAAAGGAAATAGTTAGGGATTTTAAGAGCGGTCGTGAATATTCGAGTATTGTGTTTTGGTAGTAAAATTTCAGTACATATTTTATATAAAACCCATTGCTCTACCACCCTTAGGTTTGGCTTTAGAGTTGTGATATTTTTTGTCTAATAGGCAAGTAGGTGAAAATCCTTCTGTGCCTGACAAGTCGATGCATATGATATGAATTTTTCCTTTCAAACTCAAAATATTTAGCTTTCGGCCTTCAGAAGCTTTCAGTATAATCTTGTACGTCATAATAACCGTCTTGGTATCGCAATGGTGGAGGTTATGTTCGAGTACTGTAATGTCCTAGGTTCTATTCCGAAAACATTACTTTTCGTGTCGGTAGGTCGGTATTAAGACTAAATAATCAGGAGCTCGGAGTTATCATTATAGAAATTCTAATTATATGACAACTTTACCTATGTATGGCAAAAAAGCTCAGATATTATCTTTCATAATGCATTTATTATATAATTCATATGTTTATTTAAATGAGGGTTTGCCGACGTGCAACAGACGGTGTCTGCTAGAGAAAAAAAAAATTGTCCACCCTTTAAGTGGCAAACATAGGATGATTTGTAACTATTATCTACTAATAACATACTTTTAATAATATTAACGCTTATTTCAACATTTTGACGATAGCTCTGCCAAACTGAAAATTTATTTGCTAACTTACACGTTTTAAAAATAGCAGAGTTAGAGGAAGACGGTTGTACGGAGGGGAATGGCAAAAGGTTTAACTTTAATTAAATTATCATGATCATCATTTTTGGGTTTCT